CCGCTCGCACGTGTAACACACGTCTGCACTTACGAAGCTCATCGACCGTTTGTTCTTTTTCTCCTTCTTCTTCTGCTCACCGAGTGTCAAGCGTGACGGCTTAATTACCGAGACTGTTAAACAAATTATAAAGCGAGAGAAACCGCGACACAATAACTTTCACGCTCTTCCTGCTTAATACAAAACAAAATTAATTACATGCTAACTACATTAATTTACTTTCCTCCGTATTTGCAATTCAATATTACAGTCAAAAAGTGTTTCAACAAAAATTTGCCATACGTTAATAGAAAAAAAAATATGTTTGTAAAAAATTATTTAAAAGAGATAACATCTCTTTATTACAAACTAGTGCGCATTCCGAAGTTAATGTCGTCGCGTTCGTGAAAATAAAAGAATCGCGTCTCTCGCCTTCGATTTCTTTCGTTGCGCCATTCGTTACGTCATGGATTCAGCGCTTCGCGGCGGTACGATTTAACGTGGTAATTAATTCCGAGCGAGGAAAGCACGAGAGTGTACACGTACGCCGACTTACGCTCTCGGCGCGACGCGGTGACGGAGAAAGTGAAAATAATTTCTTCATCGGAAGAACCCGTCGCCCCTTTCGCCTGCCAGCATCAGATAGCAACGACGCGGCGCGGCTAGTTAAACGTCGCGGCTGTCCACCGTGAGCGGAGGACCTTCGTCGGCTCTCTTCATTAGCGCCGACGGCAAGTTCAAGGCCGGCACGTACCGAACCAAGACCGCGACAGACGAAGAGGGGGGGAAAGATGGTGTTTGTTGAATCTCGGGTGCTCTTCCATTTTAGTCACCATTATCATAGTCGTCGTCATCATCATTATCGCCATCATCATCATCATCATTATCATCATCATCATCATCATCATCTCGAAAATCCCGGGGCTTCCACGAGTCTAGTCGTCACCCATTTACGCACGCCAATCACGTGTGAGAACCAAGCCCGTGGTCCACCGCGGAAGGGAAATCTCCTGACCCGCGAGAGACTTCTCTCCCGGGGCAGAACCGCCGGAGAACCCATCGTAAATCATGCACACGGACGTTTCCCCGCTTCTCGTCACTGCGCGCCGCTGCCCGCCGATCAGGTGCAATCACGCCGTCGCGCGGTTAGAAACCCTTTTGATCTCACACGGCACTTATGTCGCCGATCTTTGTTCGTCGATCTGCGAAATTATATATCGCCGGGACGATCTGACGTTTCGACCGTTTTTGAGACAATGCGAGACACGTCAATTTTCCAAATTTCCTCATTATTGCCTAAGCGTCCGAGCAGACTCGTACTTTGATACTTTGATATTTTTAGAAACGCTGATAGCAAAAACGCTCGGAAAAATCATATTTGAAATGAGATTCAACGCTATCGTATTTTTCACGATACAAAATTTGTTATTTATGACACTGCTATTAAAATTTACATTTGAAATTAAGTGACTTGTAAGTTTTCTTACATCGTGTGTGATTATATAAGATAATGATCTTAAAATAAAGTCAAGGATATAAAGTCTAATTAGAAAGCCACATGTAAAATAGCGAAATTATGCAATGTTCGTGCTTCGAGCCTCGTCATCTCTCTACATTATGCGTTCGGACGCGTTACGCTTTTTGCATATGTAAATCGGGCACGGGGCGAGTGTCGTGATTGTCGCGGAAGGAATCAATCAGCGTATTGTAATAAACGTGATCCGTGTAACTCAATAAGCCCGGCCAGCGTTGATTGAGTAGTAACCCGGAGACATTTATTAGACCGGCGCTTTGCATAAACGCATTTTTTTCTTCCGCGGGAACGGGCAGCGCGCCGCGTCCGAGGGTGCGCATCTTAACGACCCGCCTTTGCTGCCCCATCATCATGCTATGCAATAACTCTCCTCTTAGTAGCGCGTATGGCGGCATGTCCAATGTGGAGCACCGGTCCGCCCGTCCATCCCTCATCAACTAGATCCACGGCACGTAGGCCGACTTTAAGGCTCAATTATTTATGTAGCCGTGAGTGAGTGCCGCTGATTCGCCCATGCGATGATTACGCCAATCATAATAGGACTGCGCTCCGACGAGGGAGAAGAAGAGAGAGAGATAGAGAGAGAGAGAGAGAAGGAGAGAGTCTACATTGTGATTGAACCCCGCCACGCGGGACCGGAGCTAACTACCCGCGGAAATCAAGCAAAATAGAAACAAGACCAATCCTCAATCACGTGTAATTGTACTCTGTCTGTTCTGCGCTCTACACCGCCACATATACTCCACTTTGATACTTATATTTAGTGGCGCACAATTTTCTCCCGCGGTAACTGCGCCTCCTGCATGTCTGTTATACGCTCGGCCGCAGTAGCCTCCTCCCTCGTTATTTTCTTTATTTATAGTCATATTCGCTGAAACGCCGCGTATCATCTCAACGCCGCACGGGGCCCTGCGTAAAGCCCGAGACGAGATTTCTAACGTAAACACGCTTATCCACCAAATCGATCGTAAAATATCCTGTTATTATCGGGGTATGCTACCGTCCGTGACGCCAATCGTCGACGCGTGATCACGGATCTACACTCTACTAAGACCGTAAACATTTACTCCGTAAATATTTGTAACAACCTAGAAACGATGGCGAACCAACAACATCGGCAGAAGCTTTTAGCGTATTTGACTGCAACAAAAATTTTAAAAGCGATTTTGTTACTTTGCACAAGTATTTTAGGGGTCACAAAGCTTTGTTTCTCTTGAATATTGTAGTTTTATGTAGCGCAATTCTAATTTCACTCAAATGCGAAAGATACCTCGAAAAATTTCAGCAAGTAGAGTTACGTCATATTTTACATTTAACGAGAAATTTATGCACATATAAGACTTTTTTTTTCCAAAGTGCTAATATAAACATATTTCATCTTCTGTACATTCGGCACCGAATGATACATCACCCGATGTGAAAAGATTGAACACAATGTCAATAAACGAACAGCCGCATTTAGCGCGAAACGTGTGATGAGCACACACGAGGACGAAGTCCATATTCATATGTCTTATCCACTTAGCACCGCATTGGGCGCTAAAGCGTTATCGAGGACAACTCGGGGAGCCTCACCCTCGCGTCCCGGTGGCCTCGCGCGATCGTCGGTGTTCGCGCCAAGTATAGCATTGTCCGTGGACCAAGTCGACCGTGGCAGGATCAAGTGAAGCGGCGGCGGGCGTCGGCGGTAGCGCGCTGTTGCAGGTTTTTGGTGGGGGACCTTGACCGAGTGACGTTCACCAGCGGCAGCGGCGTGCAATCGCGCGGGCAGGTAGGGGAGAGATAGGTAGGTAGGAAGAAGTGAGTCTCTGGAGGAAGAAGGAGGACGGACTGAAAGGGAGAGAGAGAGACGGAGAGTTTGCAGAAGCTACAGCCAACGCGTTGGTCACTCGCGCTGGCTGAACACGGTTGGCGATGGCACTGATACACTTGTGTGAGGTATCGAATACCTGACACCGTGTATCTTTCATCATCAGTCAATATCAATCGGCATCAATTTTTTGGCTAAACTATTAATCAGGCGGGAATATCGTAAAGCGACCGAGTCATCGAACCGTGCCGAGCGCGGTATCAAAAGTGTAATGTTACAATACGTATTATAACGGGTAAGAAGAGAAAGACAAAAAGCTTGCAAAAACAACGGCAGATAATGCGAGCGATCGGTATCTATTGAATCTTGCCGCTGGTGATCGTACTGATATAATTGCGCGAGGCATCGAATACTTGACACCGCGTATCTTTCATCATTAGTCAATATCAGTCGACATCAATCTTTTGAACGAAGCGGCAATCAAACGGGGGTATAAATTATCGCGAAATTATCGAATTCTCTTGAACCGTTTTGAGGATGGTATCGAGTGTAATTTACAATACAAGTGTCAAGTATTTATTTGTAGACATATATTTGTATCGATACGGAATAGCATATACATCACTCTTGACAGTACCAGTTAAAAATCTTTCTGATTAAGTTGCCAGTTCTAACTGGTTCTTTTTAATATTAAGATTATTTGAAAACCATTAACCTCAACATATACTGATACGTCAAAATTAATGTACAATAAAATAATATTTTTAGTGTGATTGACGATGCAAAACCAATTTTAACGCACTCAGAAATCCCTTTAAACTTTAAATATTAAAAAAAATTTTGGATCAGTTTTTGTTACATTTATAATAAAAATTTCTATTTTCTAATACAGTTTGCAGACGATTAAAACAAGATTTTAAACTAGAAATTGACGTTTCTCCCACATTTTAATTAGAAATTCAAAAAATAAATAAAAAATATTTAAACGCATTAAATAAAAAAGATATAATAATGTAATAAATATATAATAAAATTAACAATTAGTTTATTTTTAAAGAAATTCAATCAAATGAAATCATTAGGACCAATATAAACCGGCAAGCACAAACATATTCGTGCAATAATATATTCTAAAACCCTTATATCTTCAAAAAAATCATAATAAGGATTAAAACACTTTCCGAGATTCAATATAAAAAAAAGCATGCACAAACTCGTGCCAGCTGGTGATGATTTAAATCTGCATTTAATTAAAGAAATACTCATTAGTGTATGTAAAACTAGATTTCTAAGTGTATTGAGTTAATTTCGCACCCTCAACCACGCTCTCATTTGGATTTTGGTACGCTTTGATTAGATATCGAGATAATTTTTACTTTGTTCGTCGAATTATCCAAAGCGGCAACACTTAGGGCACTTATTAGCGCTTCCACCCTAAGGATGCGTTCGGGGCCCGTCGCTATTTACCTACCAACCACCAGTCGCGCTTCCCTGGCGTGTGTACACCTTGAAATCGCTCCGTGTACGTCTGTACCGTGTTCGTCCGTCCATCCGTGCCTACTCTCCTGCCTGTCTCTGTCGGTGCTTGGGTCCGGTACCGCCGGTGGGATAGGACGGAGTTGCCGCGGTGGAAGGAGTAGTAAGCGGCCTACGCAGTTTCAACCTGGGTCCCAGCTTTTATTAGTTCTTCAGCGCTCGGCGGAGAACGAACGGAGAGAGAAACGAGCGGCGTGTGTGCGTGGTGTGGCGGCGGTGGTTTGCGCGTCTGCAACCCTCCCCCTGTGGTCCAGACCCCCCCTTGTCAACTGGGTTAATTCATCCCGAGACGGCGAAGAGACGCGCGAATTTTTCACGAGGAACCGCGCGAGGTACGAATATCAGTGTTATCGGCGACGCGGTATCGATAAGAGTCGAACGGAAGTCAAACACGGATTGCCTTCCGCGCCAAGTATCGCATAACATCGAGTGACTCCGGAATATCCAACAGTGCGAGACAGTTTGACAGATCGGGTTGCTCATCCGGTCTCGAGTGTCCGGCCTTGGGAGTTACGTCTTAAATGTCAAATAATAACGACGACAAGTGCCGGAAATCCGCGGCAGAAAAAAGGGGACCACAACAGTCGCCGATCGGTGTTAAGCGGTGGTGTTAGTCGCGCGGATTCGCGGTCGGGTGATAGTGACAGTTGGCGAACGTGAGAGTGTACCGCGACGTGTCTCTCGCCGGAAAAGAGACAGAGTCCTCTCGCACCTTCTCGCCGCTCTTCTGGTCCCGCTCGGGAAACCGATCGTACCTGAAGAGGCGTATCCTTAGCGCACCGGATATCTAAGTGATCGGAATGCTACTGTGTCAGTGAAGGTAAATCAAATAACGATAGGAGCGAAGTGACATCGATACGAAAATTGACAAGACAACGACAACGACGACGACGACAATAACGACAAGGATGACATTGCCATAAGTCAATTCGCGGGATCGAATCGGCAGATACGCTCAGCTCGATTACACCGCGAGTCGCCGCGCTAATCGAAAGGGAAACGGTAGAACGTCTTCGGTAGATCGGAGTAGGGTAGGTTCTGCCGTGTGCTCTTGCGCGGAGCCGAATAGATTATAGAGAACCCTACGCGCGCGCGCGAGAGCGCGAGTTATTTCGCGCGCAGATTGGATCTGCCGGCCGCTCCGCTTAGCCGGTCGGACGCCCCGGCAAACCAGAAATCCAGCGGAAGGGTAATATCCCATTAACTGAAAGATCAATTAACTCGCGTTAACGGACACTTTAATCACTGGTGTGCAGCTAGGCGTTCTCGCGCGGTGTGCGCCCGCGAATCTAGCCGTTTAATCTGCCCGTGCCGAGATCAAGTCGACCGATCATATGCGAGCCCCCTCGCTCGCTCGCAATAGGGGAGCGATCGCGATACGATGCGGGACGGAGCAGGATATCGGAATGTATACGCGTATTATTCATTGATGCGGCTACATTAACGACGCGCCGACGTTTGAGTCGACGTGCGAATTGTCGACGCGCGAATAAACATTTATGGAAATGTCCACTTCTGACACTCCATGCGAGTCTGTCCTCAAGAATATCTTTCTCGATTAGTCGAGTCTCCCGAATTAATACGAGCGATTTACGATCGCGTATTACATAATAAGTCGAGTTAACGCGCCTCTAAATCATCGGATCTGTCGCGCGCTTGTCGGATGAGTTTTTTAATAAGTCACAACAACATTATAAAAGTTGTTTCTTATAATTCCCGTATCAATTGCTGATGACAGCTAGTTTGATGGTTTGTTTTTCGAGAGACTTTGATGGAAAGCCTTATGAAGAAAAATTATAAAATTGTAAAGCAGACTTCAAACATATAATATTTATAATATTTCGTTTATTAATTAATTTCCGATTCTAATCAATTCTGATTAATTCCGTTATATCTTCGTTAAATCTAACAGGATCGCGCATTTCATTGGAATAAACATATTATTCAAGTATCGAAAATATATTTTTCATTTCACATTGCAAATATTGGAATCTTATCAAATATATACATATATAAACATATATACATATATATACATATATTTATAAACTTTTAAAGATAATTATCAAAAACTTTGTAAAATTAACAAACAAAAATTTCTATTTCTATTCAAGTTAATAAAAATCTAAAATATAATTCATTATAATTTTGGTATATTTAAAAAAATATAATCAGATAGAGTTCATCTCATTTCAGTAGTTCAAAAGTAGTTTAAGTAGTTCAATGATCAGACAATTCGAATCTTTCTATCTTCAGTGTTGCAATTGCAAGAATAAGTTTGTCTCAAAACTTACTTTTACTTAAAAATAATATTATGACGTCCCATTGCAAGAATCGTTCGCCCTAAATCGACTTGATGTATAGAACCTTGATTGCTCCTTTTTCCGTATTTTCTTCGCGCCGTTTTGTTTCGCCTGTCCGCACTCGCGAGATGAAGATCGCGCCCATCAGCCCGAGGTGCAAAATCCCCTCTCGCTGAATCTCCGATACGGTTTTATCGCGGCGGTTTCAACGTCCGGCGGGCGGATAGAGACGCGCAGCTGTGAATAAAGAAGACGAATACGCGAGACGTGGTGCAACGATAAGGAACGGGGAGAACTTTCGGCCTTGACGTGTACGAAGTGTGTCAGTGTTACTCGCGCGCGAGCGGGAAGGAGACGGGAGAAACGCTTTCGATGGGAGAATCGTCCGCTGCAGGATCCATTCACCATAATGCATCCGCGTAACGTGACCCTTCGCGAGGCGTCCAGATTTCTCTTGCTGCCCCAGGGATAAGCGATGGCCGCCGCTTCGCATAATCAGGCGACGTGGAAGGTGCGCGCGGAACGTAACAGCGCGTGTGCAAATAAAGTGATCGCACCGGTTTTTTGCGCGAATGTCGCAATAGCGACTTGTGATTTCCATTTCTGGTATTTGCGTCAGACTTGTCGTGTGCATTACCGTCTCCAGCGCGTTCTATTAGTTTTGAGTTATGTTTCCGTGTCAACTAGAATGCTATTATAACGGTTCGCTTAGACTATAGAAATCGAACATAAATAAACGACGTAAACTGATTTTTATCGATTCGATTATTATCCAATGATGAACTTGAAAAGTTTTGTATTGAATTTCAAAAGAGTTTAGAAAATTAAAGCAACATTTTAGTGAATTATTCCAAAACCATTTTTTCTAAACCATAATATTATTGAATCGTTTTAACAGTCTAAACAATATAATAATGTCCGACATTAATGGATTTAATCTTGAAATTTTAATCCTTCTATGAATACATAATGACAATAGTTTATATAATTCTATCTACTTTTCCAAATAAGAAACGTAATCATTAATCATCAAAGTTTTGAATAATGCTGGCAGTAAAATACTGTGGAATATTGGAAGCTTGTAACAGCAATATATCTTGATAACATCAGCGTATGAAAGCAAAATATTTAACACGGACATATTTCAAAAAATTATCTTTAACATCTGATGCCGGAAATCACGTGGCAGCGATCAGCGTGTACGAAATGCCTTAAACACGAGTTCGAGTGAAAGCGTGAAAATATGGAGCAACTAAAAAGTCGCGACGGGTTCCAAGCAGGCCGGGGAGGAAACGGCATCGGGACGAACGACCTGGAGAATTCCGAAGTGCCTGCAAGCGCCGAAGATACCATCTGCCGGCAAATTGTGTCGAGTGTAAACGCGGGGATTCATCCCGAGCAGAGTGCTTGTAAGCCGTTAGAGATAAAGCTCTCATAGGAATCTACGTGTAACGTCGCGGGAAGGGCACAGCATCGAAGCAGGAATTTTATAAGTGAAGCCGCTGCTCACACACTCGCGCGCGCTAGGATCCTCCCGGCTTTTACACGAGCGCGCGGCGCGATTCCTCTCGTTGCGCGCGCGGCGATCTAAATTAAAATCTTTCCTCGGCACCGCGTCGATTCTCCGACTGCGCGGCGTAACGGGTGACGGCTAGGGAACGAAAGGCAAGTCTTGCGTTTGCGAGAGCGTTGAGAAAAATAAGCGACAGGCTTGCACACGGAAACGCCGCGATGCTCGTAACGTCCAGTCAAGATGGGCGTATATTTTTTTCGATCGTACCGTACGGCACAAATTTATTGGACAGTCTGGCAGTATTAACCGTAAAATGCATCGCTTCGCCAGTGAAAAAGTAATGAGATAAAAACGATTCTCATCAACTTGTTTTCGCGAACAAGCACCCTCGATAAACGGCTTAACGAGAGGCCGACGTTTTAATTTTTCAGTGTTTAAAATCTTAAGAAAAATAATCATTTTTAATTATTGAAAGTGATAATAAAATTTTGTATTAATTTGAAAAATCTATCAAAAGTTAATTATTAAACATTATAAACAATTAATATTAATATACAAACAAACTTCAAAAGTAAAAGTTGCAATTATATAGCCCGAAAAATTAAAAAAAAACTCAAATATGCAAATTTGTATCGGTAATAATTTAATTGTTAAAATGTATCTATTTATTAATTTATTACTAAAAGTAGAAATAAGATTACTTTATGTCTTGATATAAAAATTTTGCTCCAAGATCTGTGCAAAAAAAAGATCTCGTGTATAAAACGCGGTCGAGAAATCTTCTACACTTCAGGCCTATCATTAATCTACTGAAATTACGTAGTGCTCTTCTGGAGCACCATGTATAAACCGCCTATGATAGGCGCTCCATTTGGATTCCCCCGTGCTCTATAATCCAGCATCAGCTTTCTAATAGCGGTCGCGGATTGCGATCTGCGATTGCGGGACGCGAGCCTTCGCACCTCCGAGGGCTCGGCCAGGCCCTTCGCATCCGGACGGACGCTACCTACGATTTTATTATCGGCTTTCCACACGCCACGTCAATAAAAGTCAATGAAGAAGGTGCTAAACACTTTGCGCGCGAAACGGGAGTGTTTATTACGTCTTAGTATCCGAACGCTCGCACGTACAAAGCTAGCGAATAGTGTCGTATAACCTGGGAATTTGTGGTTTTATTGCCGGCGCGATTCTGATTTTCGCGCTATTGCCCCGTAACGAATGTTGAAATATTTCAAAGACAGGCGGACCGTTAGAGGTGGAGGAGGAATAATGCTAGGCGACATCGACCAACGACTTTGTTGTGCTCTTTTATGTCTTTCCGACCTTTTATTCTTACACGCGGAAGAATTCTAATTCTAACGTGTGAAACGAGATAAATTCGACCGCGCCTTTGTCCTCACTGCTAATGACTAACCGATGAGGACACCGTGGACATGAAATCACCGCGGAATTCGGAACGCGAGTGTTGTCGCACGCTCCGGCAAAAGAGGCTACGTTTTTATTATTCCCGCTTGCGCTGTTATGCAACATCCGGAAGCGGCAAATGACATGCATTAACAGATTCAACAACATCGCATGTGTGTCAGCGGGCTGGCAAAAATTGTGGGATTTCCGCCATTAATAGCTGTTTGATACTAAAATAACAATAAAAGTAGCAAAATGTATCGTTGAATTTTATCTTAAATTTACGTCGATAAGAAAGTCGTTAGAGAGAAACACACAATATATGTAGAGAGAATAATATTTTTTTGGAATAAATTTACAGAGAATACAAAATATAATATTATTTTTGCGCAACCAATAATAACATGCAGAATAACAATAATAAAATATGCCACTTATGTTTTCTTGAAAAACAAGAAAAAACAAGAAAAACTGAAAAAAAAATATTAATACGATCACGCTTTAAAAGTTACGAAAAATAATGATGTTTTCGTCCGGCTTTAATGCAAGTTTCTTTGCTTGTTATCAACTATCTTAATTCCCGACTTCTCTCGTAAGGAGGAAAAAATATTTGCTACAGAGTGCACAAGGTAGAATTAAAATCGCAAGAATATAGCCGCACTTAGCGACACTCTTATCCCTCACTTTACTGTTATCCAGCGGCGTGGCGAGTAACGAAGGACGCATTAGAGGACCCGCTCGTACATTAGACGCGGTCTGGTCGAAAGCCGCGCTCGTCGCCCATTTCTTTTTTGCCCATCTCCTCCCCGGATCGAATCGTGTGTTTCTTCGCGCGATTAGGCGAATAGGAAGGCGCGTGGGAGTCGACAGGAAAGCCGCCGTAAACTCTTCGGTCCCGAAAAAAATATATTAACGTCAGTTTTTATTGCGGGGTCCCCACCGACACGCAAACTCCGCAGAGCCACGGGGAGCGCGACGGGATCCTGGTCCGAAGGACTCCGCGATCCTCTTCGCCAAATATGGCTACCGAGCCTCCAGAGAGTATCTTAATCCCCGGATCGGACTCATGCGAATTGTCTCATTTGACGCTGGTGTCTCCTCCCTTGCGCTCTCGCGGGGCTAATAAAGTCGTTGAATGACGGCTCACCCCCGTCCACACACCGTGTCACGGTGTGTCACGTATGCGAGAACTCGCCAGGACGACATGTCACTCCGGTCAGATGTCCTTGAGAGATGAATGCGTGCGCGCGCGCGGGGTCGCCTTTATTTGTTTCAAGGGCGGATGAAACGCCGACCGCGAATGGACAAAAGCGCGCGATGAATGTTAATTTCTCTTCCAGCAGGTCTTTCGGAAGGCTTCTCTCAATCAACTTCATTTAACGAATTCTCTCCCAGAATAATTTATCTCAAGTTACAGGAGTAAAGCTCAGAGTAAAGTTTTTCAATCGCAGTTTTATTTCAAGAACTGTAGCAATTTCTGTTATTATTCTTTCTGTTATTTTTAGATATTATTGAACTATTTATATTTATATTATTAGTCGTGGATTTTTTATATTAAAAATACAACAAGCTTTTTTAATTATGCATTTCAGAGAGAGAAAATTTCAAAAAAATTGCTAAGAAATATAATGAGTTTAAAATTTTACGATAAATAATAACGAAGCAGTGTTTTGATTACTAGCAATGAACTTTGAAACGCAGCGTGCAGTCGGTTGCGACATTAAAATCACTTCGCTCATTGTCAGTAAGCAAATCGCGACGAAGGTCAACTTTGTGAAAAAAGAGAATACACTGTTTTTACGCGCGATAGCGCGAAAAACATCTAGCAAAATGAAGTGTTTATGATGATAATGAATAGTCTTGACGCTTCCGCTTGAGTGTTGTCCGAGCGACCATCGTCAGCGGTATTTTTAAACCCGGTTTTTCTTCTTTTTTTTTTTATCGAAACGACTGCGTCGATCATATGTTTTTATACGCCGCGTGAATAGCGGGGATTGATTGCTTTATAAATTCACGTAAATCGTGAAAACGAATAACGTCGACAGCTGATCACTGGAGCGAAACTACTACTTTAGGTCGTTACGGATCTCGCCGATTAGAATCAACGTATTTGAGAATACAGGCATCTCTTGTTTTTGTTCGCAAGTAGAAAACGATTCTACATCCGATACGCGCAACATTGCATTACACACGTTCCATCGATCACCGAAGTATTATGAAGCAATGTATAAACAGCTGTATCATGTGATTTGGTTATTATTAGACGAATAGCTTTTTTGTAAGCGCTGGAAGCAGGAAACTGAATGTGAAAACTAAAAACTGTCAATATTCTCATCGATCTACCATCGACTGAACATTTACAGAAAAATAATCTTTTTAATAAAAAATAATCTTTTTAATAAAAAATCAATTTGTATATGTAAGATAATTTTTCGTATATTGAATAAATTTATAAAGCAATATTTAAATCTAATTGAGGCGTTATTTAATATCCGACAAATATGAAAAACGTGACAAGTGTGAAAAGAGACAATCAGTGATTCACAACCAAACCGAATCGGGAATTAATTAAAGTCGAGCCAATGTCGTAGCTTGGAACGAATGACGCGACGCTTTGGAGCTTCAGATTCTATGAAATTTAAATTAAGTGTCGCGCTTATAGATCGTAATGTCGATAGGAAAATCGCGCCGACTTACACGCAGAATCCTACGGATTACGAGCCGCGATAGCGCACTTAATGCGGACGAATATCGGGGAAAAGGCCGTGACAGAAGTCTTATCGCACAATCGCTCCTATTAACAAAGTTCTCATCAGTGAATTCATTGCCGATATTATGCGCCGTCATCGCCGTCCCTGTCACTGTCATTATATCGTTGCATGTATCTCAAGTATTCCATCTGCCTGCATGACGACAATGAGAACCATTATCACTCGCTGCGTTTATCATCATCCATTGCAGTTGGCATACGCGCTGCAATATAGACACGTCGCACGATGCCTATCATTTCTCTTTCTCTGTCTCACGTTTCCACGCGTGCGCGCGCGCACACGCAGAAACGGCGTGTACGGAAAGCGCGCGTTCTCGAGCACAAACTGCACTCTCACGTGGAACAATTCAGTCGATTGTTTGTTTGGAAAGTGGAGTAAGAGTCGAGTCTAGAAGAGCATGTTGCAATTGATACCATCAATTACACTGTTTAATGCTCATTACGCGTTTAATTGCTACCTAGATATTGTAAAAAAGACCTATTATTCTGAAAAATTTCCAAACAGACTTTCGCGATTTCTATCAAACGCGCAATTTCGTAATCGCAGAACGAAAATGAGATTAAGAACGTAAATCTCTATCAACGAGATTATCTCAAGTAAGACCGATATCAGACTATGGCGCTGGAAATTGAAGATTGCAAATTGGAGATTGGAATTCGACCCATCGGGACAAAGTGGGCTAAGATTGAGATTGCTTGATTGATCGAATTCTAATCTCCAGTCCGCAATCTCGATCTCCAATGCACACAGTTCGATGCGGGCTTAAGAGCACAGCTTTGCTTGGCTTACAGGTCGGTGATCGGGTGTGCTCGTGAAAGGAAGAGAGGGGTCGGGGGTGAGAAAAGCTCTGGGGTGGGTTGGTAAAAGTGTAACACGGCACGAGAGTGAGAAGGGTTTCGTTCGCGCGAACGAAACGGGAAAACGGTGGTCCTAGCCGGTCTTGTGGCATGATCGGGAGAAAAGGTGGAGAGGCATGATGCTCACGATACAGCGCACGGAGTCGTTGAGAAGGGGAGAAGGCTGCAACCCTCCCGGCACGCATTTGCTACCTCCCGTCGCGTCCGAGGCTTCCGTTTCCGAGTGGAAGCCCGCCGAGAGGAGCGTCTCTTTCAATCGAGACGTCCACGTGAAGAGGATCGGTGAGTCCAGGCAATATCACACCATACGAAATCCCGCATATGTAGCGGAGCGAGAGAGATCGAGAGAAGTGGCGCTGCTTGATTTTTCGGGGTCTGATGCTGCGTCGGCTGTGTCTCACAAAGCGACATTCCTACATACACATTCCCGAGAATTTGCATATTAATTAAATCTCGCGGATATTCAAATCAATTCGACGAAGGAAAATCATGATCTATTTTTAGCGCGGAGAAGCGACTTTAATTACACTTCGCCGTACAGTTTTACACACTCTTTTATTCGAGGCGTAAGATCTAGATTTAAATTTAAAATTTGCAGATTTAGATTGAAGCATAAAACTATAGATAAGCTATGGTTAAAGTTAACCGACGACTTTCGGCAAAACCGGCTCCGCGTCGGAGAGTACACCGGGATGGTCCAGATACCGTTTACCGAATTAAAATTTAATAAATGCGGAACTTACTACATGTCCACAAGGACGATCTTCCGGTACAACTCGCGGCATACGAGCATGCATACGCGACCAGAATTTAATGCGCGTTACCGCTATAAAAGTGCGCGCAAAGTCAGTTAAGAAAAAAGATAGAGAGAGAGAGAAAGAGAGAGAGAGAGAAAAAGGAGGAAGGTCGGGAGAGATCGCGCAAAACGATTTTACTCCGCGATGCCGCGATGTCTTGTATTTCAGAAAAAAATTACGGGCCGGCCCTAGAGAGCGATCCCAGATTGTAGAAATTATTCGTGGCGACTCCTCTCTTGCTAGCCTCGGCCACGGCGATCTCGTCTCTCGCGATCACCGTTTCCGAGAAACGTCTCGGGAAATTATGCGCTCGGTCGTGCGAAATTCCGCTGAGGCGCGATACGACAGCATCGCGTTCATCTTGTCGAGATGAGGGCGCGAGATGAAAAAAATGTCCAAACTATTAATTAAAGTCTAATTAAAACTGCGCGCGTTCGTAATTTTGCGTTCCAACTCCTCGTTCTAGATTTCTTTCGTGATATTCTAATAAAGTTAAATCGTTTCATTTTAAGGACACGTACTGCTATTTACATCAATTTTATATTATAAAGTCAACCGTTGTAAATTTATCATGCAAAAATCGATAGAATTTAGAAAAAAAATTGATGACGTTTAATAGAATAAAAAATAACTATCGATTCAGTTATTAGAAATGCATCTACTCATTGCATTTGATGAATTCATGTCTTTTACGCCAACGTGACATTTATATGTAAACGCGAGGAAAGATTCTCGAATTTCTCAAATAGGAGCGATCGACAAAAGCCGAGACGTCAAGCAGCGCCATAGCGCTACGAGCTATTGTAATTCGCCTAACTTGTGTCTAACTTGTGCAATTCCCTCGATATCAGTGTATAACATACTTAATCAGCAGAGCCTGCCGCAGACTAATGGCACGAAATAATTGTACGCTATGCGATCGATCCGTTTCGCCTATACGTTATCTATTAGTATCAGTACTGGCATTAATTGTGGCTAATCGGCCATCGATCGCGTAACAATAACCATAACGATGATGTTTCTCTCCTCCTCCGAGGATGGCGGCGGTCACAGTGACCTTGACATCGTCGAGGTCGGTGAGCCGTAGCCATCTCGGATCCAAGGGGAGACGATTTCATTGAAGGACGCGCACCTTCGCTGTCTCTCGCAATTCTCTTAATACAATATGTGGGATTGTAATGGTATTGGTGTATGTGTGTGTGTGTGCAGGACTCAACCATTCCTCTATTACTACCTAATTGTTAATTATATTAATGACCCTCTTATGCTAAGCGAAATAAGTTGATCCGTATTGCGTCCCGCTGAGTCTCCAACAACTTCACTGAATTTTTAACACATGTCAAGCCTTTCGCTGCGAAGGCTGTGTATACAGAATGTATCGTAATTTGTGAGAATTAATTTTAAAATTCCAAATGTTTTGGCGACCAGTGAGTTTATTGACGAACATTAAAACTTTCATTATATATTTTAATCATTAAAAAATAAATGAAACATATCCGTTCAAATAAAAACCTACTAGAAATCGATTAAAAAGTAATATTTCATCAATTTTTGAAATGCAATACATTCTGAATGGACTAGTCGTGACTAGAATAAAGAATTTTTTTTAATTATTATCAGCAAAAATTGTACAACTGATCTGTTAAGCCTCGAGGATGCTGAATCGCACGGTCACTATATTACGCTAGGTCACGTAGATACACTAAAAGCGGTATGCTGAAATCGCGCTTCTATCTTGTTTATGCGCAGTTTCAGGAAAGCAACTTAATATGCCACACACCACGAGCAACGGCGAAGTACGGGATAAACATGGCAGATAAAGCTAAACGCAACGAACCGTCGCAAGTTATGAACGTTTCCGCTTTCCGTGTATCGCCAATGCGGCAATTGAAATTAATTCGAATTTCCAACATCTTGTTTTGACAGCTTAGATTGCCTTTAAAAATATTCGAAAGTCAGATGTGTAATTAAACTGCAGTGGTGCAACAATGTGCATCTCACGAGTACCGGCGCGGATAAAATTAACTCGCGCCTGAAACTTAATACGCGAAAAGCTTTCTTTGAACATTTTGAACGGTTTCTAATTTAAAAATTATTAACTGTTTCAAGATACTTTTATTTTAAAAAATTATTTTAAATATGATTATTCTGGAGTTCTGCATTAAAATTATAATACAGAATACAATAATCGACATCTCATCCCTAATTAGCATCGATTATTAATAATGTAAACAAGTATTTCTGAAAATGTTACGAATATCTCTTCAAGGCTCCCTTCTCTTTCACGGGATATACTTCGATCGACAAGGTCGAGTGTCAACGTTGCGATTGGATGCGGTCGATGAACCCTCACCCGTTCCATTCACTTTTTGTGATGCGACCAACAAAAGCGCACGCTTCCCTCAGTGCGATTTACCGCGAAATCGCGATAATTGACTCAACCCGGGAGAGCGTAATTAAATTCGAATACTTATCATACCGGCTTATAATCCTCGATCAGTGGTAAAGATTATGAGGTCGGAGGTTATCTCCTCAAAAAATATTCTCGCAACACTTGCAATTTATGTCTATTCTTGGAAACTATTTTGCGGGGAGTTATTTTGTCGTTTTTAGATTTCGCGAAACTTTTTTCTTTTTTAAATTCCGTAGAACCTACAGCCGAAGGTTAATTCTTTAATTAACAATTCTCAATTATTATATTAATAAAATATAATTGATTTTCAATGATGTCAATGTTTCGCAATTATATTTTCATATTAATTAATAAAATAAAACACAATTTGTACATATTGTAGAAACTTTTTTACCAATCAGAAGTGTTCCGTCATTCAGAAAAGCGATGCTAAAACGAAGACGGGCTGCACCGTCCGATAAAAAGTCTCAGCTCCGAACCGGTGCATTAGCGGTCGCACCGTATTTCTTATTATACCGGCGCGAGGTGTGTGTTTCTTATTATCCCTCTCCCCCCTTTCTCTTTATCTTTCTCTCTTCCTTTCCCTTCTCATCGTCAATGCGGGCGGTCTCGGAAAGTCAGCCTAGTTGGGTACAGCATTGCGTTCGAGCATGTGCCTCTCGTCGAAGCTTGTTAAGGGCCCCTTGTGTCGTCCGCATTATTCCGCCTGCCGGCGTTTCCTGGATCGTCGCGTGCTCCGCAATCGCGGAGACCGGCCGTAACCCGCCGGTGCACGCGCGCCGGTGTGTATGTGTAACGAGGTGTAATACGCTTTGCGATCGCGCTGCGATCTTCGTTAGATCGCTAATGGACGCCGCACGGAAATGCCTCGAGATCCGCGAGAAATTGATCGTTGTTCGCGAAACGGGTACGGACTGTGGTCTTTTTCCCCTTCCGGTCCGGTTGCTTTGCCGAGGTGGCAAATGTCACGCTAGAATCCTTTCGCGACGGAGAATAGTCCGGATAGAATATTTTTTTTCCACCTGAAATGGAAACAACGACGCGCGGCGAGCTTAATGATAACGCGGCTACGTTGTGTAACGATCAAGTCGCGTACGCGCACGGGCAGAGGATATAAGGAAGTGCTTGGTCGAAGCATCGAATGGACCGGTATCGTGAGTCAACAACATAGAGATCGCGTATCGGATACCTCGCGTGTAAGCCATCGTCATTAATGCTGTTACACGAGCGCGTTAATCGCCTTTCTTGCCAGAGAAATGCCAACGTGATCGATCTTGAATTAGCGGTCTTTAGGTATCGGTATCGACATTAAGGCGGACATTACAATTGCTAATTCCCATCTTGCGCGACAGTATGTTGCAATTACCACAAGATGCGTGCCAAAATAGTGATTTTTATTGTTGCACAATAATATCGCACAGAATTTTCTTCAAATTTTTCAACTTCGAATCATCGTTTTTTCTTCACGATTCTACCGTTTCACATTTTATGTAATTGTTATACGTCTTCCTGTTTCGATATTACGCTTGAATCTCTGTCGGCTGCATGTCGAGTAGACAGCGACCGGCAGAAACGAGGAAATATATATATCGGACAGACCGGTATTCCGAGTTGAGAATATGAGAATCGCATTGACATCATGCAAAACGTGCTTAGAAAAGCGGGAAGAGCAGCGGGAATAAGAGGTTACGTAGGTGAAACGCGTACAGATTACAAGAATACAAATTAGCGCGATCCGGCTGTCTAGCAAGCGCATCCAATATAGAGAGTCTCTATTGAGACGAGTTTACCGACAAAACGAAACTTTCACTGTAAAGGAATTTGATTGAACTTTCGCGTTTAATACCGGCGGACAACCCATTAGAAGTCACGAAGAGTTCAGGACGAACTCTCGGAACTTCGGAAGATTCCACGAGACTCGTCGTAACGAGATTCTCTCGCGCGGCGCGCTTGCAGTCGTAATTCCGCGGTTCGCGGAAGACACGTTGATCGCGACTAGTCGTCTGAGAAACAGCGGAGAGAAAACATTCCTCTCGCAATTATGACATCATACGCTAAAATCATTCATCAGT